CGGGAGGGGAAGTGCCCGGCCGGCTTTTTCCCGGACATGTTTGGCTTTTCAGCAATTGCCCCCGGACGGGGGTTTGATTGCCGAAAAGCAGGAAAGGCCCGGGAAAAAACGGACGGATGGTAACCCTATTTAAACCCCCTAATCCAGAGGTCCCCAAACTGTGGGGAGCATCCCCCCAGGGGGTTGTGGAGGTACCTTTGGGGGGTGCAGCAGGGCCAGGGCCAGTCCCCATGGGGGGGCCAGGAAGGAGCACCACCCAGCCCCTCCCCGCCCCTGTGCCTGACCCCGTCCCCAGCCTCGGCGCAGCTCTGCTCCTGTCCCTGTCTCCAGCCTTGGCCCCTGGCTGCGGCTCCAGTCCCGGCCTCGCTCCCAGCCCCAGATTCACCCTCAGCTGCGGCCCCAGCCTCGGCCCCCCCTTACCTCTGTCACACACACCCCCAACCACATCATTGATCCCAGCCCCGGCTTCGACTCCGGCTCCGGAGGGGGAGGGGGGCATGGATAGGGGTAAGGGGAGGTGCAATCTTTGGGGACCACTACCCTAATCGTTGGAGGGAAATCACTGCCTTGAGTCATTTTCCCATTAATGGGGAATGAAGATCTTTAATGATCAAGTTTCCCCCTCACATCTGAAAATCAAATTATTTTTCCACTAGTTTTAATTAACATGGCAGGATTGCTGCTTAAAGTGAGCTGTTCTGCATATAACAAACATCAAAGCCAGAAGCCTCCCACCATTTGGGGGGACAGTGTCTCCCAGCTGCTGACGGGGCCGTTGGCAGACCCTGACTGGCTGCATTTTGCCCCAGATGGGGGCAGGATGGGAGCGTCATCCCTCCAGGGGGCTGCTGTGTGCGTGACTGGGTTCCTGATCCCCTTAATCAGTATCCAGAGTGTCTAACTATTGTCATCCTTTATAACGATCCTGCTGTATTAACCCCGCCCATTCCCACCACCACTGTCACCCCAAAGGGTCCCTAAAGCTCCTGACAGATGGATTCTAGGGGAGTCATTAGTGGTATGAATATGGTGGTTGCCCTATGCCAACAAGAGGGGCAATATCCCCACATGAAAACTGCCCAGCTCTTCGTTTGCCCTGTCCCAGCTGTTGCCCCCCACCCAAACCAGCCCCCCTAAGCAACAGCTGCCAATCACCAACCCCACCCCCCAACTACCCCCTCCCAACTGCCATGGGATCTTCTGTCTCCATCCCCCTCCCTGTCCCTATTAATGAGGCGTTGCCCAAACAAAAAGCTTCCAAATTCAGCTGATTTGCAATTTGTGTGTGTGTTGCGGGGAGGGGGGCACTTTTACAACATTTCTTGGCAATAATGGATTAAAGCTCCTATTAAAATGAGAATTCTCCAGCCATTTAAACTATGGTATCTTTACTACTCCACCCATAACAATCCCTAGTGACAGGTTTCAGAGGGGTAGCCGTGTTAGTCTGTATCAGCAAAAACAACAAGTAGTGGCACCTTAGAGACGAACAAATTTATTTAATTTATTAATTTAATATATAAATTTATATAATTTATTTAAATGTATTAACAAATTTGTTAATCCCGCAGCTGTTTCATGGCACAAGCGCTCAGAGGGAGGGGGGAGAAGCAGGACGCGGCGGCACACTCAGGGGAGGAGGCAGTGAGCTGGTGCGGGGTGGGGAGCTGCTGGTGGGTGCAGAGCACCCACCAATTTTTCCCCAGCCCTGGAGCACCCACAGAGTCGGCGCCTATGCTTCCAACCCTAATCTTCTATGATTATGTGAATTGTTTGCCTTAACCTCTGAGGATAGGACATGAAGTAATGGGCTTAAATTGCAGCAAGGGAGGTTTAGGTTGGATATTAGGAAAAACTTCCTAACTGTCAGGGTGGTTAAGCACTGGAATAAATTGCCTAGGGAGGTTGTGGAATCTCCAGTATTGGAGATTTTTAAGGGCAGGTTGGACAAACACCTGTCAGGGATGGTCTAGACTCTAGATAATACTTAGTCGTGCCTTGAGTGCAGGGGACTGGACTAGATGATGACCTCTCCAGCTCCCTTCCAGTCCTATGATTCTATTATTAGATATTTAGAGAGAAAAATAAGTAATTTTGCCAGTATATTAATAATCAATAAGTAGAAAGAGACCAGCATCGGAGGGGATTTTGTGTAAAATTCCAATAACTGAGAAAAGGGAAAAATCAGATTGGTATTACAGCAGTGTTTGATTACTGGTGAGAAAAAGGCCAAGATTGGAGAGGATTAGATCGCCATGTTAAGTAATTCTACAGAAGAGCAGCACTCTGGGGAGGATTTACAGCGATATTCCCTACAGGAACTAGAACATAGAACAAAAAATGAACATGATTAAGGTTGCTCAGTCAAACATTCACAACTGGGCTGACCTAGAATCAAGAACGTGGGGACAGTGTGAATTCTGCCCCTTTGTGTATGTGCGTTAGGATGTGGTACGCCCTGCTCTTATAGCCCAGGGGTCGCAGGATATAAGAGACAACTGGGGGAGGTAATAGATTTTATTGGAGGAACTTGTGTTGGTGAGAGAAACAAGCTTTCCAGCTACGCAGAGCTCTTCCCGTCCCTTTCCCCTCCCTCTCCATCCTGCTTTTCAGCCCTCCCCACCGAGAGCTAAGGGAGAGGAAGCTGTTGCTCTCTGTCTTTCTTCAGGATATCAGGGGTTGAGCTTCCTGGGTCAGTAGCATCTGCTGCTGCCTCCATTGTGAGCCGGGAGCCCGGGCTGTGCCGCTGCTGCTCCCCAGCGCGGTGTGGGGAGAGACCTGCATTAACCCCCCTCTCTGCCCAGCCGGGGGGACTTTCTGCCCCTGGCAGCCCCGGGCTCTGCCGACACCAGCCCCAGAGCCGGAGCCTGCAGGTGAGGGGAGAGACCCGGGGGAAAGGGCTGCGAGCCTCAGAGCTGCTGCCCTCCCTGACACACGCCCAGTTTCGTGTATGTCAGAAACTGCTTCCCACCAGAATTTGTGACTTCGCAGTCACTGAGCAGGCTGGAGCAGTGGGACCAGGCTCTGCTGCCCTGACTTGCCATCAGAGTCTGCTCCCTGCGATTAACAGGGGGCAAACAGCGGCACATGGCAGGGATGTGTGTGCAGTTTGCCGAGGAAGGCAAAACAAGTGGAGGGAAGCGAAGGAGAGGGGCAGATTGGCAAAACCAGGGACAGGGTGCAGTAGCTGGGGTTCGGAAAGGGGGAGCTGTGCTGCCAGATAGGTTGGGGCAGGGGGAATGGTCCTTAGCACATCCTAATTTACTAAGGGTGACCATACCTCCCGTTTTGGCCAGGACAGTCCCATTTTTAAACCCTGTTCTGGCTGCCCCAACTTTTTTGGCAAAAGTGGGCATTGGTCCCATGTGTCTTGGCTACTTGATCAGTTGGCAAGAGCAAACAGGACAAATGCCCACTTTTTTCAGAAAAGTGGGGTGCAGAGGAACATGGGGGGGGGAGAGTGGTGGTGCCAGCCCCATGTGGAGGGGAGATGGGGGGGCAGGCAGGACTTGAATGAGCAGTGCTACCAGCATCCACCGTTGGGGGGGGGG